CTAAGTTTTGGGAACAGTACTGAGTTAAAGTGCGCCGTATTAAACGGCGCTGGAGGCCGTGCGATAAGACGGGCCCACTGAGTTGGGGAATTGGGTGAAGGCGGCACAAGAAGACGTGCATCAATTGCTGCGGCCACATCGTATATCAGTGCAATTGCGTTGCAGTCAATCTTCCACACCTGCTCATACGCCTCTTCAGTTGCGACTCGGGCTGCTGTCTGTCGTACAGATTTATTGTACAGCAGATCGAAGGTATCTTCCGAAACTGAGAAACGGAACGACTCTTCCTGAACCAGATGACAGATAATATCTTCCCGCGTCTGACCAGTGTCAGCAACATGCTGATCGATGAGCAGGAGTAACAAACAACGCACGAGCTGTTCCTCCATGTACACCCACCGACGGAAGCTTGGCTGTTGGGCGCGTTCATTATCGTCTCCTGCTGGGAAATGAGCTTCGTCAGCTGAAGGCGCCTGCCAAGACACTAAGACCGAGAAATAAGCGGAAACTATGCGCTCCTGGCGCTGGTCGTATTTCCCAACGTAGTGCTCGTAACGGATTGAAGCTAACGCTTCTACTGTACTCTTAGTCCAACGTCTAAGATCAATCTCACACAGGATCTTCTCTCTATCGACGGACACTGCATGTATGCTAGCCAACTGGCGAATGATGTGATGCATCTCTAAAGTCATCATTCGGGCCATACGGGCTCGTACATAAAGCAATGTAAGGTTACCATTGTGCTGGAAAGAGTTGAGCCAATATGCCATTGTTACGCCGAGATCGTCTAACAGTTTTCTGCGGCCTTCGTCTCTTGTAAATAGCGGCCAACGCTCCATCATGTCCGCAAACGCGTGTACCGAAGCCTGTGCCGGACACCAGCGACCAAGTACGGCGAGATACCGCAATCTTAGCGCCGGTGACATTGCAGTGCTCCTGTCCAAGTAGTAAGCCCAATAGGCCACGGTGGCAGCTGCTTGAGCCCGAAACCGTCCAGGAAAATGCTTCTGGGCGCCCAAGAGGCGAGTGGCTCATGTTCATCTAGAAACCAAGGTTTAGGCAAGTCACTTGTGCTGCTGTACGCTTCTCTTAAACGACCAACCACTGCATTCGCCCGTTCCGAATTTGTCGGGTCGGACCAGAACCGAGGAATCAGCCATTCAGCAACGTCTGAAAAACAGGGGAGACTCCGTTGTTCATATTCCTCTACGGTTTCGGGGAATCATGGCAGCTCCGGCGGAGGGGTCTTGACCGGGAATCAGCTGCATTTCAAACCGTTCAAGAATTCGCTGATTATCGCGATCCCGAAGACTATTTTCGAGTGCCTGAGTCACACCGTCCTTAGCCAATCCTTGCAAGAATAACCTCCGA